TATGTTCATGAGTGTGAGAAGGTATTTCTGAACATGCTCTTTTCCGTGAAACTGGACCACAGAGTCGTCGACCCCCAGCAGCACCTCGATGTTGTAGGCCCGGTCCAGGGCGTGTCTGCGGGAGCGTCCAGCCCGTGTGTGGTTAATGCTCTGCTCCACTCCACGGTACAGGGTCTCCAGATCCATCAGGCCCCCCAGGTCTGCACCTGCAATTACAACACACACAGTCAACATACTGAGAGCAATACTGTATGCATCCAGGGCTGTGGGATGTCCTATAAGTGGTGGTAATGTAGTCAGATCCTCTCCTATTCAGCAAATATGTCGCCCTCTGTAGAGGCAGCAGATGGTGCAAACTAAACACATGGACTGAGCTGCTCCTGCACACAGGTGCAGCCCACTCTGCTTCTGCTTTGGCTCCATACAGTCAGGCTAAATGCTAATGACATGAGACTCTTATTACAGGTTAAATGTGGAATTCAATAGTGCCAAGAATACGTAAGAATCACAAAATGTAGAACACGCTGTATACTGTACTGAGAACAGTTTTCAAACAAGTCAACATTTCTTCTTTTAAATTAACACTGACTAATGTTCCAAAGGCTGAAGGTTCCCTGCATAAGAGCTATTGGATGAGACAGGCTCCAGCCACCCATGAACCCAAAGAAGAATAACTGGCAGGAGATAAATGAATAAAAGCAGTCAAGGTAACTGTGCTGCTATTGTGTCAAAGGCGTGTTTTTGAGCGCGACTGAAAAACTAAATCAGGTAGCGGAGCTTTCAGGTATCTAATCCAATCCTGTTTTCCTTTTAAGCTCGGCAGTGGCAGGCTGTGAGTCCATAGATGATAAATTGTCCTGTCTTTGGAGTCAAGGCTGCGCGCTGTCCTCCCCTCCTCATCCCGCTGACTCTGTCTCATCCTCCTGGTATGGACACACAGCACGACGTTGCTACAGGAGCCCAGGAAGGACAATTCACACAGCCTTGCACATTCAGTCTGTGAGGACCCAACAAAGTCAAATCTTTTACAACTCAATCAATGCTTCCCATAGACAGAGACAATAAATCTTTGAAAGAAGATTTGTAGATCAGTCAAGTTAGATCTTGAAATTCCTGCTGTATTCTACATGTTCTAAAATCTACTATAGTCAGATATATATATATATATATATATATATATATATATATATATATATATATATATACATACATACATACACACACACACACACACACACACACACACACATATATATACATAAAGAGTAATTTACATTTATTGGTAAGTATATTTTGTAGGATGTAGATTTAGAAGACCTTTATAGGTTTAGTAGTTTCATTATAATAGATTCCAATCTGAGTTCTCATTAACCAATCATTATAATTTCTTTCTCTTCAATTAAGGCTTAATGTAGTGCTTTATAACCTGTCATTCATTAAATGCTGTTTGGGAGTAAGTGTGCAGGCTTTGTCTCACTTTTAATGTAGTGCTTTGTCTTCAAATTACAAGTCAATTAAATTGGATCTATTCTGAATTATGCTTTTCCCATTCTTGTGAAATAAAATAAAAGATGAAATGCTCATTAGCATCCATTCATTTTAAACATGCTTATTTCTAATTAAATTATCTAGAAAAATAAACTTCCATATGGTGGAATCAAATGTTTACATATTGCATACAGACAAACAGATGTATGAAAGAAAGGAAAAGTTGTAAACATTCCTTTGCACGGCTCATTCCCATCAGAAGCTCTTTGTCACAGTAGATACATAAATACTAGTCATCGACCCATCCCTCCTCTCAGCACATCCCAGTCAGTCAGCGTATGGTCCAGGTAAAGATTATTCAATTTCTAAATAAATAAACTGAGATTAACTGATAAACTTTCAACCCTAAAATGCACTAAATGTATACTTTTATCTTATTACGCTAAACATTAGTTCTAACAAATGCTATAGATGAAGTGCAAAAAGAAGGAGGACCTCACCTAGTTATATGTATAGAGTAAATACATAAAGTGGTTTGTTTGTTTCCACAATATATCACAGTCAAATCAAAATTGGAATTTAAGTTGGTACAATTATCTCAGTCTGGAATTATTTTGGCAATAGAATGTCCTCTGCAAAGAACACCATGGTGTACTACCGCTATTATTGATTTCATTATTTTTTATTTTTTATTCTATATTCATCTATTTTTGTTTTATGTAGTCTTTGTTAACCCCATAAACCCTAAACACTCCATGTTTAGGGTTTATGTGTGTCTGAGGGAAAGGGTGGTTTGGGGGTTTGTGAGCTTTGTTGCTTTATGCATTTGTGTCTTGTTTATATATTTATTATTATTATATTGTTTAATGTTTTATTCTGTTGTCCTAATGAGATTCTTATATTAGTCGATCAGTTCACATTTTAGTCTTCTCTCAAATGTTAATGCTCCTGTAGTTGTTTAGAATGTGCACTCCTAACAGAATCTTTATTTGTAAATAAATACAGTATATCACAAAAGCAATTGTGATATACTGACGGTGTTCACAATGTGGACTTTGAACACAACTCTACTACTTCAAGGTGCACTATGTAACTTTTTGGGTGGTTACCTGCTTGTTTCTATCTGGATCTGTCATTGCTCTGCCTGGAATGTCCCACAGTGTGACTTTAAAAAGTTCTACCTTACATTTATTCAGTTACATTTTTTTTTTTTTTTAAATAGCTCAAATACCTAGAAAAACAGGCATTCTAACTGTAAGTGGAGTTGCCTCTACTCAGATCTGACCTGTAACTTGACCTTGGTTCGTCTCCATGATGACAGAAAGGTTTAATGCCATTCTGTGAAACAATCTATAAAAAGCAATAACATCTCCATAGAAAAAAAGCATTTGACGGACACTAGCAGGGCTGGGTATCATTAAGAAGTTGCCGATACAATACAGACCTCGATACATAGGCCACAATATGATACATATCTCGATACAGTGCACTTTTGGTTCGATACGATATATTTCAAATCAATTCGATATGGTTTAATAAAAATAAAGGCTAAATTGTGGCTGTGATACTAAAAGTCTTTGTTTAATTACTTCTTGTGCAGAGTTAATATGAAATACAAACATTTTAATCCTCAAAACAGTAAAAATGTCAAATGTGTCGCATACAACAAGTTTCCTTCCTCTAAACAAGCTACAAAACTGTAGCACTGTAACAAAATAATTTAGTAAAATATACCAAAAAATACTCTTGGCGATATATCGATACAGCAGCCCATGATATTGATACTGTATCATGATATTAAACAATACAATATATTGATATTTCTATATTTTTACACACTAGAAAAATTACACAAGGCACCTAAAAAAAAAAAAATACAAAATCGTGCACCCGTAAATCTCCAGATAAACCAATAGCAATAGGTGAGAAGTCTTATTGTCCTTGTCAGAAACTTTGCCTCAGATATAAAATACAGGACAGAGCTTTTGTTGCCAAGGCCCTGAAGTTAATTTAACATGTGCTACGCAGTCACAGCTCAAGTGTCGTGACACGTACAGTTAGCAGAAGTGAAGATACAAGGAAGAGAGGGGAAATGGAGAGAAGAGCTGCCACCTTGCCTCCCAATCAGCAAGGGGCATCCCACAATCCCACTCCCTCTTATGCAATGTTTCCACGGCAACGTACTCATGGGTAACACAACGACCACACGGCTAATATTGGCTCCTGAGTCGCTAGGAGAATAAATCTGGAAGTCTGAAAATGATCCCATCTCTGCCCACATCTGAGTGAGTGACAGAGTACCCACACACAGAAAAGTGAGGCACTGGCGGCGACGAGCAAATATAACCAGGAGATGAAATCAACAAAACAGGTCTGGATGGCCCAAGGTTTTTCAAGTACGCATTCAGTTAATATTAGATTGTTGTTGTAGGGTTTGAATTTACCAAGATCATGTCATCTTTTGGCAAGGGGTTTGAGATGGATGGACTTCAAAATTAACCTCAAATTGCAGAAATATATTCTCATAAATTCATCTGACAGTTTGTTTTAGTTATAATCAGCCCTAATTGCAGCCATTTTGATTAGTTATTATTATAGGCCTACTACACACTCTTCTTCCTACCTCCCCTCTTGATTGTTTCTTTACAACAGTTTCATGTTAAATATAAACAGGTAAAGAAGGAATCATCATTTGCTTGATTATTTCAAATGCCACAACACAAAGAAAAAGCAAGATGACACCTTTAGTAAGTAAATAGGAAGCCCTGCATGGAGGTGTCTGAACAGTAAAAAAAAAAAAAAAACAAAAAAAAAAAAACATTGTTCTGGTGTTGATGCATCCCTTGTTAATAAGACACTTTTCAGGGTCTCTTGTGCTTGGAAATAGACAGATTGTGAGAAGTGGGTGTAAAAGTGCTGGGAGAGGCAAAGAGAGGTGACAACTACTAAGGTTGCGATGTGACCATGAAAAACTTAAAGCCACACTGTGTAACCATTTTATTCAACTGTTTTTGTTACACTGAAAACACAGAGAAACATGTGTCCTTGCTCCTTACTCTGAGGGGGCTTACATCTCTACAAACCTGACTCTTACTTAGCCTAGAGGAGGACCTTCACATGTCTCCATGGAAATGTTCCTATGGCTTAAAGATCATTTACCTCAATAGCTCTGAAGTATGGTTTTAACTTTCTATTTCCGTGGAATCATGTAGAATCCTCCCCATTTTAAGAGCCATTACCATGATATCTGCCATTGCATGATAGATCCCTCTCAACACACAGGGTAAATATAGACAGTGTATAGATAATAGAAATGTAAAGAATGTAGTAACGTTGATCTTTGTTTCCGCGCTCCTCTGGTCCTGCCCTCTTCTGGACCTCATTTGCATGTACATGCAGTGGTTTATGCTGTGTGCAGCTGTAGAGAAGACCCTCGCTCCATCACTGCAAACACTCCCAGTTTCTCATTCAGGTGGGGAGAGCGCGGCCTTATTAGGACAGAGGCTCTTTGTCTTTCAACCTTTGCAAAATGTCAAGAATGTCTGCTGGCTTGCTCAATAGCAGGGCGGGGGCCAAAGAGGAGGAGTGTGGCACAACAAGAGAGAGGGGCCCAAAACATGAGACCATTATCTACAGTGTGAGAGGGTCACTGCACTGTTATTAACTGTGCCACCAGATCACATTTTAGTTCTACCATTATTGGAGCATTACCATATTA